TGATCCATATTGATGTAATTGATCTATATTCAGAGCCAAATGTAGTGCAGTGGTTAGAATGTTAACGCGGTAGGCAGTGTCTAAGTTATTATTTTTACTTCAAGTTCTCACTCAGTCACAGAGCTCACTGAACAAAGTTTGAGTCTGGTGGCACCCTTAAGACCGATGAAGTCTTATTCAAGGTATATCTGAAGAAGTGTGCTTGCACACAAAAGATTATACCTTGAATAAAATATTGTTGGTCTTAAATATGCCACTGGACTCAAACTCTGTTCTGCTGCTTCAGGCAGCAGACTGTCTCTCTCTGTGTGAGAGATGTTGTTTCTGATGCTGCTTGGGAGGAGATTCAGGCTGTGCACCTGAATCAGAGCTCACTGAGTTACCCCGGGCCAGTCACACTCTCTCCGTTTACCCCACTTCCCTGAGTTCTTGTTGCAAAGGTAAAATGGAGGATGAAAGTGCTACATACACCATTCTGAGCTCCTTGGAGGAATGGAAGGATAAAAATGTGATAGATATCTGGCAAGTCATTTGGAATCATTTATTTGCATTGTCTTTTTCTTTTTTTGTACTTTTGCGTGTGCATGTGTATGTATGTGCTTGCGTGCCTGGAAGTCATGGCAACCTCTGGTGACTCCTACTGGGGCATGGAGGACATTCAGAGAAGTGGCCTGATAGCCTGCCTCTGGCCTCCTGACCCTGGTATTCTCTGGAGGTCTCCCATCCAAATACTTGTCATGGCTGGTCCTGCTTAGCTTCCAAGATCTGACAAGATCGGGCTTGCCTGGGCTATCCAAGCCAGGGCTTTTATTTGCATTTTACTTGCATTTCACTGCTGGTTTAAAACTCGTATGTTCATTTCCAGAAGATGGAATTGAATGGGTGTTTTTAAAAAGGCCCCTTCTATTACAGCGAGGCTTCGGGGTTTTTTTTACTTGTTGCATGAGGTGATTATGACCATATCAAAATTATATTAAAAGGCAGTAGATTTAAAAGTCTTTGATTAAAAAATTTAATATCGAAGTAACCCATTTTGAAGCAGCTTTTGAATAGGAATGAAAAGATGCTCTAATTTTAACTGGCAAATAGAATTCCTTTATTTTTAGTAACTCAGAACCGAGCTGTAATACTGCTACCAAATAAGATTTTAAAGCAATTTGATGGTGAATACTATCATCATATGACAGCTTAGCAAATTTAGGTAGCTCCCCAAATTTATCAGCAAGAAAACTATGTAAAGATAGTATAACCTTAGCTTGGCTAATGCAATCTAAACATATTCATAAAATCTTAACAATCCTGAAATGTATTGCCACCAGACACTACCTTAAATTTGCCCTACTGAAAACACCTGAGTAGATGGTAATGTCAGATAAGTCAGTGATTGTTATTTATTGCAGAACTTTTCAGTAAAATAAATTAAAACATATTGGTTTTATTATTATAATCATATTTTTCTATTTTAATTAAATATTTAGAAAGAAGAAGAGACTACCAGTAGTAATTACTTTGAATGATGTTACCAGACAAGTCACTACAGTTACAGCTGATAACCTATGAGAATTTCTTGTGTACCATTTAATAGATAGCATTTATGTATTCGAAGGTAGCCATCTGTTGACTATCCTACCACTCATGCCGGTCCATCTGGCATCAACCAGAGCCCAAACTTTTTCCACTGTGGAAATGGGAATGGGCTCTCTGAAGAGGAAAGGGGTCCACCTCCTTGGAGAATTTCAGGAGGTCCTGCAAGGCCTGTCTGTTTCCCAGGGCTCGTGAGGGGGTTTGATGAGCAGGCATCTTTCAGAGGGGAGAGAAGAGATTTGGGGTTTGCTATTTTATTTTTGGATTTCGCTGGGGATGTTTTTCACAATTATTGTAAGCCCCCTTGAACCACAAGGAAAGGTGCGACATAAATATGTAAATACGAAATATGTAGCACTGAAGAATGGTCAAAACATTTCATATCTACGATCTCAGCAATTGATAAAGGTAGGTTAGTAAGTATCAACCCCATATTAAAAATATGGCATGGGCAGCTAAGTCCCAACAACAAAGGCTCACCTAGGTCCAATGCTCATGTTCCGCTGGCAGAAGAATTCCACTGGAGGACAGGATGATTTTTGCCAATTTACAAGATGGTTTAATATTACAGTGAGCAATCGACTCCTTTGTATTCTCACCCTTTGATTCACTTCTGGTTCTTTCCTCTGTTCCCATTGCATCTGCCAAGGTTTCAGCTGAAAGATCCAGAGGGTACAGAGCTCTTGGCATAACATGCTGTGTCTATATAATATTCATCGTTGTTTGTTGTATATTGTTCCTACTGCATTGTTTTTAACTGTGCAATCTGCCTTTGAGTCTCACCGGGAAAGCTGAACTATAAATGAAGGAAGTACAATAAAGTAGGACTTCCTGGGATGTTTGGGTTACTTTTCAACAAAATATTTCTCAGTAAATGACAGCAAATTATTCTAACTAAAAATTATTCTACTAAAACCAAGCTCTTCATATAGAAATTTCTGACAGCATTACAAAAAGCACCCACTTGTATTTGGGATGAATACAGATCACAAACTGACAAAATAGTGTACTTTTAAAAATCACTAAAGCCAAATTCACAAAGCAGATAGCGAATGCAACCTGGTAAAACTGTTCCAGGATTCTGCTACATTTGATTGCAGATTCTGAAGGCACATAACTGACTGTTCTACAACTCTAGCACATGAGAGAAAGACATAAGGAAGAGAAAGAGATGTTTGAAAGCTACTTGATGCTTTTCCTAGAGCTCTGCCTCCGTCATGGTCCAATAATCTTAAAGTCAGTGCATTAATAGAGGTGATCGTACCAATAGTAAAGGTAAAGGTAACCAATACAAGGGAATAAATCCAGGATAGCCAGGCCCAAAGCTCATCAGTGCAAGGACCGATGGAAACTACAGGGGCCAGTTACAGCTGGTCAAAGGCCAGGTACCCACAGAATAAAGAATAAAGAATGACCACTCATGCCTAGTTCTCAGAGCTGAGCCTTTTACCTGCTGAATTCTCTCTTCTGAGCTCATCCCATCAGTTCTATACTATGAGAGACTGTCCCTTTCACTGTTTCACTATAGAAGATGAACCCATTGTTCATTGTTTTAGTGCATGTTTAACACTGAAACTGGGATTCTAAATGGTGTTTGTTATCGTGAATATAAATCCATGAGTTTTACATTCACACTAACAATAAATGAATGAATTCAGGTTAATAAATCCAGAATATATTTGAGGCCTTTTCATGCATCTACTTTCAGCATTCCTAGTTTTTGGAGAAAATAAAAAGAATTATGCAAGTGCCCCATATAATCCAGCTAATGACCTCAAGGGTATTATTGCAGTGGTTGAGAAATTTACTGACACATTGGGTGCAAAGTTCATTCACTGGAAAATAGAAAATCTTTTGAAAACTTACAATGAACCCCAAAGACCAGCATCTAAAACATTCATCCTGGAGCTCACAATTTTGATCTTTTATTCCTTTTGGATGACAGCAGATTCAGCAGTCTATTCAAGGGAAGGTTTTCACCTAAACGTCCACAAAGACCCGTCACAGTCCAAAGGTTCTCTGTTCATTCTTTTTGTTTTATTGAGGCGTTGGGTCTTTTTAGTTGGGTTTTTAAAAATTACTTTGAATGATTAGTGTAAAATATCTTCACAGACATTATGGAGCTTTCTTTTTTAATTTACTTAATTTATCTTAAATTTGATTGCAGTGAGCACCCCTAATTAACGTGATTTTTTGATGATAATCAGTCACAATGGAATCAAATCAAAAATCCGGGGATGGATTGGCCGGCACCCAGAAAGAAGCTGCCCTCCGCACATTAATTCAGCGCACGGGATATAATTTGATTCAGGTAGGAATTCCCCATCACATTCTTGGTTACTATCTTCTCACTGATTTAAATTAAATAGTTTACAGTGCCATCCTAAGCAGAGTTACACCATTCTATTGACTTCATCCACTAGGATGGCACTGTTAACAAGGGTTTATTCAATGACTAGGGCAAAAAGTTTTTTCCTTAATTTCCCCACTACCTATTACAGAGAATTATTTCACAACAAGTTATGTGATAGACATATGGTTTCCACCTGTGCCACCCCCTAGTGATTTTTTGATACAAAATACTCAATCTATACGGCTGGGTTCATTCAACCAGCAGCCCCCCTTCTATTACCTCTGGGGGCAAGTAAGTTCGCCAGCGGGGCTTGCAGTCTCACCAACCTGGTTGGGGTTGTTTCTATAAACTGGAATCTCCATATGGCTCATGGAGGCTCTACATGAAGCTACTGCAAGTAAAACAATTGCCCTGATCACATAAACTGTGGTAGCTACCTGTCCTACCATACTTTGAATAGTATCCAGATAAGAATATGCTGATTTATCAATTTCAGTTGGGCTGTACAGTGATGATCTTACTGGTAGTCCAGCACACCCCCTAAGAAGTTTCCATGGGCTATCATACCCCACATCCAAACTTCAGAGAACCACATTTTATTTTTACTGGAATGTAATGAAGTAAACCCATGCATCAGAATATTTGTCATCTAAAGAGATTTTAAGACACAGAATTCTTAATATTTTAAAATTCAAAGATGTTACCTGAATGAATACAATGAGAAAGTCAAGGTGAGATCATTATGGGCTATGATCGTAATGCCTAGATGCTAGTTCTCATATGTTCCTCGTCACATGTATGATTAAGAGATTCGGGTGGGTAACTGTGTTGTTTGAGTTCAGTGGCACCTTTAAGACCAACAAAGTTTAATTCTCAGCATAGGTTTTCGCGTGCATGCACACTTCATCAGTTACTGATCTTAGATTCAGGTGGGGTGGCCATGTTGGTCTGAAGCAGCAGAACAAAGTCTGAGTCCAGTGGCACCTTTAAGACCAACAAAGTTTTATCCAAGGTATAAGCTTTAGTGTGCATGAGTGCTTCTTCAGATACATTGAAATGGAAGTTGTGAATCCATACATATAGGTAGAGGGTGAACAGCAAATTAGCATGCAGCATAATAAAGTGGTTTGACAGATGCAAGGACCAAACTAGACTAACACGCCTAGTGTACATGGTCACTATTTTAATTTCAGGGGGGAACATAGTGAATGAAATAAATACATCAAAATCAGAGATTAATGGGCAGATGTACCATTCTTAACTGTGAAATGTTGAGAGTAATTAACTGAGAGTCTGCTATTATGCTAATTTGGAATGGTAGATTAGGATGTATTTCTGTGGTCTGGGGACAGAGGAGACATACACTGCACAGCCAGTCACCCCACCTCAAAGAAAAGGATGCGGTAAGGTTGCCTCCTTGCTTGAGAGGAGACGGATGGAGCATAATACTGTTATTCCAATTTTTTCCTTGCATCTGTCAAACCACTTTATTATGCTGTAGACTAATTTGCTGCTCATCCTCTGCTTATATGTATGGACTGGCAACTTCCATTTCAATGTGTCTGAAGAAGTGTGCATGCACACGAGCACTTGTACCTTGAATGAAATTTTGTTGGTCTCAGAGGTTGATTTGGGGGGGATCGCGGGGGATCACCATTCCCCCTGGGTGAGGTGCGGGGAGGCGGGGCACACAATGAAGCCCCGCTTCCTGCTTCCGGCTGCCCCGCTTCCGGCCCTCATTCAGCCAGGAGGAGGCAGGAGAAGAGGGAGGGTAAGTTGCTTCCTCCCCGCCTCTCCCCACCCCTGCCTGCCTGGGGCCAG